TTCTTTTCTACATTTCCTCCACCAACATGACCTCACCACAGCCCCTCCCCAGTGCAACCTTGGTTTGGTTTCCGCTGTAGGACCAACACGCGATGAGGTGCTGCTTGTGTGTGCTTCGTTATTGACTAAACTGGTGGTGAAACACTGGACCACGCTGCACGCGTCAGCGGGGAGCTCTGTCGGCACACGTTTAGGTAAATTTGGCTTCCTGCAGCTAAATCAAACAGCTGCTGTGCAACGTGATGCAGGAAGTGACCGAGAGACTTCCTTTTCTTCCTGTTTCACCTTGTTCCCGTCTGGATTTTAGCTAAGCATCAGTTTTACGCTGGTCCGCTAAAACCATCCTCTCCCTTTACATCCTTCATACCCCAGAACGGAGCCCCTCTCAGTACCACAGCCACGGTGTTCTCCATTTGAAGTGTTTTTTGTGTTGGTGAAAGAGTCTCTTCAGCACAAACACACGGGTTTGGAGTGCACTGAGTGATGCTGGTGATGCAATCTCGGTATCAAAGTATCGGGCCAGATTTTAAACCTCAAGCAGGCCAGTTTTATTCAGCGGTAGGCAGCCTTGCAGGGTTTTTAATAATCTACATTCAGATGCCCTCTAAATGCAGGGAAGGACAGGAAAGGGAAGCAGGGGAAGTGGAAGTTTAGAGATGGGATGAATATAGAAGATGAGGAAGTGCGGGAAGATGGGAAGAGAAAGAGGACAAAAAGGTGACTGACGAGGATCTCCTTTGAAACTATTTTTGCCCGTCGTTCCCATTAAACTCGGGCTCTCGGCCTCTTTTCTGTCTCGTACAATCACACTCCATCTTTCGTGCCTCCCCCCTCTCTCTGTTTATTAGTCATCCGTCAGATTCAGACATGTAGATGGAACAAAACTCATCTCTGTTATTTATTCGGCTGTTTTTGCCAGTGTTCACTCCTTTTCGGCGCCGGCATCCATTTGTCAGACACCTCTGCGTCTTTAAAATGAATCCATTTGCCTCTGAGCTGCTCCATTTCAGCATCTCTTTATTGTGCACAGATGCAGTTTGGCAACAAACGCTGAAAGATGAAATGAACACTGGTGTCATAATGACTCAGTGGGTTCAGCTACACTCCTGCTACATCCAATCAGAACCAAGACGTCCTCCCCATCCCCATCCCTTCCTCTGCTGCTGCTAAGATGGTGGGAAGATGTGCCCTTCAACGTGACAGCACATGTTTTTGCTAGTGTCTGCATTGCTGCAAAAGTCTTTGTCAAATGCAAACATAAATGTCTACCGTACCAGGTGTATTAATAAACACGTTTAATAACAGCTGACCCAAGTGCTGCACAGGAAGGAACAGCGAAGCTCCACAATAAAAGACAGAAATCAACAGCCAACAGATGAGATGAAAACATGTTAAAAGGTTCACAACAACAGGGGTAAGCAGGGGTGGATTTAGGACTGAAGAAGATCCGGGGCTTAACACACGTGCGCGCACACACGTGACACGCACAAGTCAACATCATATATATTACAAATCACAAATATTTTCAAATAAGACTCACAAACCTGAGTCAACACCAGTCTCATCAAAGCTGGGGTTCTGTCGCGGTACCTTTTGGTCTAAAAAACGTCCTTATGTCCATCTTTACATTTGCGTTTCAGGCAGAGAGTGTAGAAGAAGCCAGCTGCTGAAGGGCTTCTTCTTCAGTGGTGGAGGCTCAGGCAGGCTGTACACAAACTACTGCCAGCAGCGCCCTCTCTGTTGGACTTTGGTACTGCATGTTACTTCCACGTTTTAGATCCGGGGCTTTTCATGAAACATTCGGGGCCTGAGCCCAAGTACCCGGGCCAGGGTATCTGCGGGTCCTTAAAAAGTCTTAAAAAGCCTTAAATTTGCTTTTCCAAATTTAAGGCCTTAAAAATCCTTAAAAATGACAAATAATCCTTAAATAGTTTCCAAAGGTCTTAAATTACCAAAGACCCAATAAACAAGATTCTTTTATTTCTATAAAATTTTCGTGAATTTCTAGTTAGTTAAGCATTTTTTGTGTACGATACTGGCATAAGCGGAACCGTACACATGCAGTTGGTTGTGAAAGGGGGCTATTTTTAGATGAGCATGCTAGTGGGAGTTTGCGTCATGGGGAAGTGCAACATTAATGGTAACTGGATGGTTAATCCCACGTTCACGACGTGGTTAGCACCGGTTCCAGGCAATAGCTGGAAATTATAGCTTAAATGTAATAAAAAAAATAGCTTAAATTTGGTCAAAGTGGCCTTAAAAAATGTCTTAAAAAGTCTTACATTTGGCTCCCTTAAACCTACAGATACCCTGCCGGGCATAACGCCGCCCCTGGTGGTAAGACAAAAAAAGTAGATAAATAAAACACAATTCTAAAAAGATAAAACAGTGAAACACAAATGGAAACCAGTCCAGAGACAGTAAAACCAGGTCACTAACCAAAAGCTAAGTGACACATAGAGGCCTCAGCTCCGACTTCAACCGACCCAGCAACACATTCTCACACCCAAGGAGTCAAAATATAACGCTTGTGACCAAGCGTCAATATTTGATGAATCGGGGCGCCCCAGCGCGTCAGGAGACGACGATCAGGGACACGCCGGGTCACGTAGCATACGTATACATAGTTATACATTTGCGCTGTATAACATACGAAAGATCAGACCATACCTAACACAACATGCCACCCAGCTCCTGGTGCAATCTACTGTCATCTCCCGCCTCGATTACTGCAACGCCCTTCTAACTGGTCTTCCAGGCTGTACTGTGAGACCTCTTCAAATGGTCCAGAACGCAGCGGCGCGTCTGGTCTTCAATCAGCCAAAAAGAGCACACGTCACCCCTCTGTTCATTGAGCTCCACTGGCTACCGCTAGCAGCACGCAAATTCAAATAGCTAACACTAGCATACAAAGTCTGAGATGGTACGGCCCCCATCTACCTAGAGTTCTGATTGTAAATATGTTTTTATCCCCCCATCATATCATATGCTGCTACTACCCCTTGTTCTATTTTACAATACTTAAATCACTTTTGTGAATTGCCTGCACCGACAGCTTAATTACTTATTCACAAGGATGCTGTCATGTATTTATTTGTTGAGATATGCGATTGTTTGTTTTGCACTATCCTACAGGATACTACTGTAGTTCATTTTTTACTGTATATATTGTATATCATTTCTATTTCACCTGTTCCTTTGTCTCTCCTACTGCTTTGAACATGTACATGACACAAGAATTTCCCTCGGGATAAATAAAGCTGTTCTTATCTTATCTTACCTGAATCCTCTTGCAAAGGCTTACGTCTCGGCCCGGCCGCTCCGGTCATCACAGGATGGTCGGCTAGCAGTGCCTACACCACGCTCAGGACAATCCAGACTCTTCTCATGCATCGTTCCACAAATGTGGAATGACCTTCCAAGCACTACCAGAACAGGAGCTTCCTTTTCAATTTTCAAGAAACTCCTGAAGACCCTGCTCTTCAGAGAGCATCTTCTTAACTAGCACCCTCCCTGCACCCGTCCCCCCTCTCTACTGTCCACTCCTTGTTAAGAAACAACTCCTTAACAAAAGTTAAGATCTTGAACTGAATCCGGTGTAAACAGGCGAGGATGGGAGTAATGTGAGAGCATGTGGAGGTTAGGGTTTGTGAGGAATCTAGCTGCAAAGTCTTAGTTTTAATGTTAAGTCTCTGTAGAGAGACTGTGACAGTGGACAGGCGCTCTAAGCATTATTATAAAATAAATAGCCTCTAAAGGAAAAGTTTAAATGTTGAAAAAAAAATAGATTATGTCAAAAATGGTCCAATAAATCTATCCCCATTGTGCTCTTGATGTCGCCTGAATTTAGTTTGATTATTTTATTTATTTCATGATTTGTATTATTTTTTATCATCATGGTTCTGGTGAGTGAATAAACTATAAAAAAACATTTTGATACATAAAACAATCTACTTCTGTCCGCAGCGTTTCACAAAACAACCTCCAGAACTTACTTTTCATTTTTCACAGCAGCAGCTCAGCAGGCCTCGCCTATGTCAGTACACCCCAAAGCAGCTGTGGCTTCATCATAGCTCATCATCACCAGGGTGCGAGTGGTTGAATGACTGATTGTGTTGTGAAGTGCCTTGGGGGGGTTGTAGAAGGAAAACAGACCATTTACCAACAAAACTCTCCAAAAAAGAAGGAGTCCTTTGAAATGGGTTATTAATACTGATAAAACTAAACAAATGGTCATTATTAATAAGCTATTTTATAAAGCTTCAGAGCTTTGGTCGTGTTTATGAGACTCTTATTTTGAAGGATTAAAAGAAGTTGTGCATTCCAGAACTGTTAAAAATAGACTTTTTTCTTGATATTTCACCTCTAAGCTCGACACCAAAGCTGGTTTTAACGTATTTCTCTCCCAACGGTGCTTCTCCTTTGTTCTTGCTGTGTTTGTCATCTTTACTCATTCTGGTGAAAGAGAAGGTTTTTTTTTTCAAAATTTAAATCAATTATACAAAAAAACTTCATTTATTTATAGAAATCTAAATGTCTTTAAGGTTTCCATGGTGATGGGTTTGGCTGACAGTGACATTTCCACTGCAGTCTGAGAAAAACCTGGTCATTAACTGTTAACATCCTCCCTGGTTCTGATGGAGAACCATCTCCAGATTTTAGTGAAACTTTCAGAAAGTCTTCAACAGATCCACACCTGATTAACGGTCCGAGTCAATCCAGTTCCAGACAGCAGCCGCAGCCAATCTTATCGACACAAAATGGTCCATAACTCCTTCACATTTCCAGATATTGAGCTATAATTGGGTGTGGATGTGGCTGAGATTCATATCTATCACTTACCAACAGATTGCATGAGACTGTGCGGTTTCTTGTTGTAGAATTTACTAAAAAGCTTAAACTCTGAGTTTGTTTTTTAAAAGTTTTGTCAGTGAACTTGAATTAATCTGCATTGATCTTCTGGAAAATTAAATCGTATTTGTTCTTTGTTTTTGTTTCAGGCGTCGTAAAGGAATACGTCTCACTGCAGATGCTGCAAAGGTAAGAGCTTCATCTTAGAGTCTGCCGATTGTCTGAGAGCTCAAATCTAAATTGGGGAGGAAAACAAAATCACAACAGCTCGTCTGAACATAGAAAAGCCTCGTGTTTGTAATAAAACAGTCGGGTAGAATGTAGCACCGGTCTACATGCTAACAGCTGGAGCTAAACCATCGTCTGATCAGGTGGACGGAAGCAGGAAACGGGACTGCGCCTGGTGGTCTGATCAGATTCTGTAAAACTGCTGTTCAGTCTCACTTAGGTCAGGGCAGATGAAGGTCTTCTGAGTTTATCCGACAGTAAAATGTGATTTTAAGTGTAATCTATAGCTGAAGCGTTAGCAGCTTCAGTTGCTGAACTGGGTCTTTATTCATAAATATGTTTAAGAGGTGTTTTGTTTAAATCTGGTAAAGGAGGAACTGTTTCTGTAACGGCGTGTAGAGGATGGCTGTTATCGAACTGATAATGCTGAACCTGTCATCCCATAAAGACGTTTAATCTTTTTGTTGTTACACAGTTCTGTCAGCCTATTGATTTATCGATCCGCTTCCTCGGCTCCCGTGATGCGGCGTTTACGGTCAGCGCTGCAGCTTGGGTTGGATGGATTCTGATTGGTGTGCTGAGTCATGGTTGGATTTGGATTTTAAACAGGATTACTGCTCATGTTCAACCCTTCTTTGGCTCTTTTTCTCTTTGCTCTTTTCTTTTCAAATATTTGTCTTTCATGTTTCAGCATCTTTGTGTTGGACTTCCTGGGTTTGGTCTAAAACCAATCAGGTGTGCCGAACAAGCTTTTTTATTTGGTTTCAATTAGGGATGGGTACCTCTAACATTTGAATCAATTCGGTACTAATTCCCGGTACCTAGGAATCGATACCAGTACTTAACGGTACCAATTTTAGATACTTTTGAGTGTTTATTATTTTAATTGTCCTTTATAATTAAATATATATTTTTCTCAATTTATAACCATATTTGGTAAATATCACGATAAATAACATTCAACTGTTTGTATTTTAACATCGTCCTTGTAGTTTTATAAGCTGATAATTAAACTGAAGCAAACATCTTTACTGTGAACTAAATTTACTGTGTATCTTCATTCCTTTTGCCGTCCTTTTTCATTTGATTTTTCCTACTGGGAAGTTAGAATTTCCGAGGAGAAAGCGAACGCACCATTAGCTGATAACAATGGTGGCAATGGAAGCTAACATATCAAGCTAACGTTATCTTAAACAGTTTATTTAGCTGCTGGAGCAGATTAAAACGATGATGCCTCACACTTAGATCGTTGTCGCTGGTTTCATCTTCACCCAATCACCCGTCGCATTTAGTAAAGCGAAGCCAAACTTTAGAGCGCGTTCATGTTCTTCTAGTCAGGAATTCGGAGTTCTGAGGAGAAAGCGAACGCACCATTATCGGAACAGAACCTAACAAATCAAGCTAACGTTATCTTAAACATTTTATTTACCTACTGGAGCAGATTAAGATGAGGATGTCTCACTTAGATCGTTGTCGCTGGTTTCATCATCACCCAGTTACCCATCACATTTAGTGAAGTGGACCCAAGCGTTAGCGTGTTCTTTCTACCATGCTGCTCTGTTTACATTACAACTCGCTCGCAGCGACCGACGACACAACGCTCTTGCGCATGCGCAGCTGTCTAGGCAAGTTCTCGTTATGAAGGACGGGTACCGAAACGAGGCGCCGTTTCAAATGACGTGAATCTGTGCTCGGTCGGTACTGTGGAATTCGGTCGGTATTCGGTGCCCATCGCTAGTTTCAATATCATTTTTTTGGATTGTTACCATTCATCCTTCTTACACACAATGTGTGAAAGCCTGCTGTTTTCACCAGGTTACTGCAGCAGATCCGAAACCCTCGTGTGAAAGCAGATTGTTCCGGTTACATGAACTCAGACCTATCAGCTGCATGTATCTCTGCTGTTTTAACTCAGATTGAAATGTTAAACAGCTGCTCTTCCCCCTGTTAGGAAACTAAAAGACTAAATTACTTCACTCTAATTTCTGATTTCTTTCAGTGTTTTAAAGGCACTTTTACGTTTGCATGTATTGTTAACATCTGCCCTGAAGGACGTGCTGAACCCCTCGTGTTTTTTATAGTTTATTCCCCTAATGAAGGCGTGCTTCCCTCTGGGACGGACACGTGCGAGCCTCGTTTCTGATGATGAAAGAGAACGAACGCTGTTCTTAGAACCTGCTCTCTCAACACTAATAGAACCTTCTGCAGTTCATCTTCTCTGTAGCATCTTGGTTCATTAAAAAGCAGGCAGGAAAAGGAGGAAACCAATAATAGACTGAATTAAAACCAACGTCCACGAGTAGACTAGGGTGAGAAATGCAGAAAACAAGTTCACAGATCAATAAAAACCAAACAAACGCTTTCGCTGCAGCCTAATGTGTCCTCTCACTACAAGCTGGTAGGATTTTCTTTGACCGGCGGCTTGGTGAGTCACCTGTGCATTTAAAGGTTGATTTTTATAACCTTCATGCTCTTTCTTCCTGATAACAACCCAACACCAATCTTAACAGCCCTAAATAAAACACAAGTGATTTTGTCTTTAACACTAAGGGAAGTGAAGGGCCATCGTTTCACGGAGCTTTAGCCTCTACTTCCTGTCTCTAATACATCCTTCAGTCGCATCAGCAGCAGACTTGGATTAGAACATGTCCTTGACATCATTTCTATGCGTTTCCACCAACCTGGTGCTGACCTTGTGTAGTTTGTCTACATGCATGCATGAGCCTTTTATGGTGTGTGTGTGTGTGTGTGTGGACATGTGACGCGTGTCTGCATATGCTAATGTGTCCAAGGCTTATGTTTTATGCATGCTAATGCCTCATTTTGTTCAGTGTGGGTTTATATTCCCTCATTTATGCACAGTTTCCTCCATCCTTAGTAAAACAGAGGCTGTGGCGGTGCTCATAAAGACGATGGAGGGAAATATATCAACAGTACAAGCAGGAATACGTGGAGGACGCGATCTGATCGACTGGCAATTTTTTATCATTTCCAGACTTTTCTAAAAAGTGGTGCAAGAAAAAAACCCTAAATCACCTCAGCCTATAATAAACATCCTGTTTAGATAAAACCTTTGATCTCATTGTTAGTTTTAAAACAATAATTGAACGTGAGCTCCAAAGCATAAGCAGAGGCATCAAAGGAAGCCGTGTGTTGCATGAGTATCTTTATTAAAGATGCATCAGTGGAGAAAGAGATGAATTAATTCACCGTTAGTGTTGTTAGTTGGAACAGAGGGAGGAAACCAGAAAACAGATGGATTTTAGGATGCTTCGTTACCCCAATATGTGACTGCCATATTTGGTCGCGGCGCCTTGCTTGCATTCATTTGCTCAAATGGTCTTTATGGCAGTAAAGATGCAAACAGGCATCGCTGAGAGGAAAGAGGCAGTAAGGAAGCAGGAAGCAGACATCCTAAATATAAAAAAGAAAACAAGGAATCAAGGTCATCATCATTTAAACGGTGTCAGCACAAATCAACTTTTATTTTGCAGATAAACTAAATAAATGAGTGTCTAATCATGCTGGAGACACGTGCAGTCAGTTTATCATTTTAGTGCATCTTAGTCCATCCATCCATCCATCCATCCATCCATCCATCCATCCATCCATCCATCCATCCACCCATCCATCCATCCATCCATCCATCCATCCATCCATTTTCTTCCGCTTATCCGGAGTCGAGTCACGGGGGCAGCAGCCCAAGTCGAGAGGCCCAGACTTCCCGCTCCCCAGCCACTTGGGCCAGCTATTCCAGGGGAATCCCAAGGCGTTCCCTGGCCAGCCTAAAGACCTAGTTCCTCCAGCGTCTCCTGGGTCCTCCTTCAGGTCTCCTCCCGTTTGGACAGGCCCAGAAAACCTCACCAGGGAGGTATCCAGGAGATATCCTAACTAGATGCC